TGATTTTTATATTGATTAAATTGATTTAAATGTATACATCCTGGTGGTTAAAAATAAATTACTGCATACATGTTATCCTCAAAGCATTGTGTTCAGTTCTTTGATGTACATGTATTTTTTGTTCAGTCAACTCTGTGAATAAGGTAACATCAATTTATAGGTAAGAAAATTGGTTTAAAGAGTATAAGCAACTTGCCTATTGTCGTTAATCATTGGCAGCTGGAAAAAAACAACACCCCCCCCACCCCCCGCCCACACACGCACACACACACGCGCGCACACACACGCACGCTCATGCACACACACGCATGCGCACACACACGCGCACACACACGCACGCTCATACACACACATGCATGCACACGCGCGCGCCCCCCCCCACACACACACACACAATTTAAGTCCAGGTGTTCTGAATTCAGAAAGCTAACTACAGTTTACTTTTATAATTACTTTAAAATTTACAAGTAAACTTCACAGTTAAAGAAGTTACCTGCATTTTAGAAATTGGTATGCACTAATATTTAGAAGATGTTGGAATCTGGCTTCTATTTTATTTATAGCCTCAAAATACTTATCAAATATCTACTGTGAAAGATAATAATGCTGTATGAGATTGTAAAGAGTGATTAAAAAATCAAAGTTACAGAACGGTTAAAAAATCAAAAGTTTCAGAATATATTTATTCATATATCTTAAATGTACACAAGTTGTCTTATACGCAGTGGATTTAGATATATATTTTTAGTTTTTTTCTATTGAGAGAAAGCATGTTATATACATTAAATATTTTCTTTCTTGCAGATGTATCTTTGCGGTTTTAGTGGCAGAAAGCTAGATAAACTGAGAAGACTTATTAACAGTGGAGGTGGAGTTCGTTTTAACCAGCTTAATGAAGATGTAACTCATGTTATTGTGGGAGATTATGATGATGAATTGAAGCAGTTTTGGAATAAATCGGCCCACAGGTTTTTTCAGTTTTTAATTCAAATCAATTTCTACTACATAATTTTTCTTAAAATTGCGTATCCATGCAGTTCTGGAAACCGCATGACAAGTGGGATGATGGTCTTTATAGCTTGCACTAATACATAACTATGTGCTGTTTTTGTAGGCCTCATGTGGTGGGAGCAAAGTGGTTGCTAGAGTGTTTCAGTAAAGGTTATATGCTTTCTGAAGAACCATATATCCATGCTAATTACCAGCCAGTGGAAATTCCAGTTTCAGATCAGCCTGAAAGTAAAGCAGCTCTTTTAAAAAAGAAGAACAGCAGCTTCTCTAAGAAAGACTTTGCTCCTAGTGAAAAGCATGAGCAAGCTGATGAAGATCTGCTCTCTCAGTATGAAAATGATAGCTCCACAGTAGGTAAGAAATGCTTCATTTGTATTTGTAGTTAGTAAGAAATATTTTAGTAGCCTAATACATACATATGTGATCTCTGCCAAGTTTTCTAGATTTTAAGTTAAATTAACCTTTTTCTTTCCTTAAAGTTTTGCTTATAACTTTTTTTCTGAGCAGGCAAGACGATAGGGTCCTGAACCCTTTAACCCTCTCTCTCTTCAGCTAACTAGCTCTATTTTGATTTGTTACATATACAGGCATTGCTTGATTTGTGTGTGAGTTTCTAATAGCATGAGCCTTTTATTAAAACCTTGTAACAAATGCCTCTTACTGGATTATTGTGGTCTTTCATGCATGAAACACTGTACTGTGGACTTACCACCTCAGTGTGTACTCTATGTAGTAAGGTAAATTGCCAGTGAAGCATTATAAACGTCATTACTTCTTTTTTATTAAAAAAAGACTTTATAAAGTACCTAATATAGCCAAAATATATAAATTTAAATAAATTTAATGTGTATCATAACTTAAAATCTAAAGTTAATCAGAATTTTAATCTACTCGAATTAAACAAGAACCTTAGAAAACTCTTTTTTTTTTTTTTTTGAAGCAGAATTTCGCTCTTGTTGTCCAGGCTGGAGTGCAGTGGCCGTGATCTTGGCTCACTGCAACCTCCACCTCCCGGGTTCAAATGATTCTCCTGCCTCAGCCTCCCAAGTAGCTGGGATTACAGTCATGCATCACCAGCCCTGGCTAATTTTGTATTTTTGGTAGAGATGGGGTTTCTCCATGTTGACCAGGCTGGTCTTGAACTCCCGACCTCAGGTGATCTGCCCGCCTCGGCCTCCCAAAGTGCTTCGTGAGCCACGAAGCCTGGCCTAGAGTATGTTAATGATCACAACTAGCCCTTCTCCCTATCCCCACTCATCAACGTACTCAGCTTATGTGATTTTGTCTAGTATTTTCATTATCTTTTAAAATCTCACAATTAGGCATTATCCTTTTATATAATCAACATTTGTTTCATTTACTAACACGTTTAACTGTTGTTTTGCTCTCCCCAGTTCTTCTTACATCTGAGACCTCTCTTCTGGAATCATTTTCTTTCTTCCTAAAATAATATCCTTTAGAGACTGGTTTAGTTTCTCTAAGACTCTTCAGCTGGGTATACAGTTCTAGACAGTTTCTTTGTTTAAGCAGAGAGATATTGTTTCATTGTCATCTGTTTCCCTGACTGCTGGATAGGAAGTCACATGTCAGTCTGTCTTCCTTTACACGCAATCTGTCTTTATCCTCTGGCTGTTTTTAAGATAGTCTTCCTTTTGGTTTTTGTGTCCTAGAGCTTTACCGTTTATTTGTCCTGCTTGAGATTCATTGTGCTTTCTGAATCTGAGAGTTAGTAGGTTTTCTGCTTTTTGTTAGGTTGAGAAATGTTTATTATCTCTTTGAATATTGCCTCTCCCCCATTCTCTATATTTTCTTAACTCCCATTTGCTTTGTATATGGGTCACTTAATTTTCCAGATCACGAATCATCTCTTCAGTTATTGCCTAATCTGTTTTACTCATCTATTAAATTTTCTGTTTTAATAATTAATTTTTCAATTCCTAGAAGTTTTAGCTTTTTAAATAGTCTGTCATTTATTTTTTTACTTTTAAAAATACAGATGGAGTGCTACTGTGTTACCCAGGCTGGTCTTGAACTCGTGGGCTCAAGCAGTCCTCCCACCTCAGCCTCCCAAAGTGCTGGGATTACAGGTGTGAGCCACCACACCCAGCCAAGTCTGTCATTTTGTATTTGTATTTTTTGTTCTTTATTTCTTAAAACACATTAAACCTATTAAAACATCTGTGAATTGTTCTGTTGGTTATTGTTTATGGTGCCTGGTTTTCTCGTGTTTTGTGATTTTTATTGTGAACTTGTACTTACTAGGACTCTAGGAATTCTAAGAAACTTGGGGTAGGGATTTGTTACCCCAGAAAAGGTTCATGTTTGGGTCTAGGTGCCTAGGAGTTTACAAACTCAGTACACCTATAAGTTGGTGTATTGGCTGGAGGTTTCTTAGACCATCCAGCTAGTATGAATTTATTCCCAAACCTACTTTGAGGACCAGCCTCTGATGAACAAATTGTCAAGAGATATTTTTTCCGCTTAACCCAAAGCCAGTGTTCTTGACTTTTTCCTTTGCAGGGCAGATTTGTTGTTGGTTGGTTGGTTGGTTGGTTGGTTGGTTTTGGTCTGTTTACTAAAGGTATGTCTCTTCATGGGTTCTGGGTTTGTTCTCTCAGGCGATACTCTGCTTTACCTCTAATTTTTATGAATCCAAAGGACTGGCTCCTGTCTCTTGTGTGATACCTTTACATTCCAAGGGTCTGGGTTACTGCACAAATATTTAATAGATTTTGACTAACCATTAGCTTTAGTAACTACTTAATGTTCTAGATTTAGTAACCACTTTAGTGGTCTGGATTTTAATATTTTATCCTATATTTTGAAGTGTTTTTAGTGAGAGGGTTTCAAAGATCCTAGCCCACCATATTTCTTGAGAGGGAATTCCTAGCATTCCTTTTTTATTTACACTGTTCTGTACTACAAAATTGACTTTTCTCAAACCATTTACTTATGCTTTAGTATTGTATCACATCAGGAGATCATCCAATTTTTCCAGGATGCTCTGGTATAAAGAAGCCACAAATTAACTGAAAGCGATTTTTTTTTTTTTTTTTTTTGGAGACAGGGTCTCACTCCATCACTGAAGATGGAGTATAGTGTTACAATCTCAGCTCACTGCAACCTCCTCCTCCCGGGTTCAAGCAATTCTTTTCCCTCAGCCTCCTTAGTAGTTGGGAGTACAGGTGTGCACCACCACGCCCAGCTAATTTTTGTATTTTTAGTAGAGATAGGGTTTCACCATGTTGGCCAGACTGGTCTCAAACTCCTGGCCTCATGTGATCCTCCTGTCTTAGCCTCCCAGAGTGTTGGGATTACAGGCGTGAGCCACCACACCCAGCCAGCGATTTTATATACTATCCTTCAGACAAGAGTACTTGGTGTAGGGCAGGTGATTAGTTTCTTAAACCTTCCTTTCTAAGGCTGCTAGTGGTTTACTGACTTTGTAAGGATTAAGTGATAGTAAATCTCAGTGGATCACCAAGCATCTGAGAAAATCTATAGTAAAATATTTTATAATTAATTCTTAGAATTGCTTTCGATTTAAGGGAGTTTTTTTTTTTTTTTTGAGATGGAGTCTCGCTGTGTCACCAGGCTGGAGTGCAGTGGCATGGTCGTGGCTCACTGCAACCTCCATCTCCTGGATTCAAGCGATTCTCCTGCCTCAGCCTCCCAAGTAGCTGGAATTACAAGCACACGCCACCATGCTCAGCTGATTTTTGTATTTTTAGTAGAGATGGGGTTTCACCATGTTTGCCAGGCTGGTCTCAAACTCCTGACCTTGTGATCCTTCTGCCTTGGCCTCCTGAAGTGTTGGGATTACAGGCCTGAGCCACTGCGCCCGGCCCTAGGGGAGCTTTTTGAATAATAGGTTTGTTACGTAGTATCTCTTAGGCTTTTGGATGCGATCTGTTTGAAAAGAGATCCTACTGCTAAAATAAATGGAAAGAACTGCTGTAAAACATATTAGTTTGTTATGAGTCTCTTAACTTCAGAGTTTTACTGATGGTTTATTAAGAACTTAGTATTTCTACTTTGTTTTTATAGTAGTAGTCTAAAATTCTACGGAATTTCTTCCTCCTTCCCATCTTACCAACAACATGTAGACATCGAACAAAGTTTTTTTTCTCCTAGATGTGACTGCAAAATAATTGTACTTGCAAAAAATAAAAAGGGTTTCACTTATAAAACAAACTGTTTACATTTTAACAAAACCGTTAAAAGAACTTTCCGGAATGTTTTATAGTATTGCGTCACCTTTAATTCCATCTAAGCATATTCATTCTCATGAGTATATCTATAAATTGTAAGTATACTATTGTCTTTTATTCCTTGTATTATGAAACAAAGGGTCAAAGAGGCTATAAAACTAGAACCCATCTCTCCTGACTTACTGATCAGTAAACTCTGTAGACAAAACTATGCTTCCTTAGTGTGAATAAGAACAATTTTAATACTTATGTTTAGTAGGAGTCATAAGTTCCTAATATATATTGCAATGTACTTAATTTACAAGTTCCTAATATATATTACAATTTACTTAAAAATGAAAATGCTAGCGTCTCTTGGAGATGAGGATAGAAGTACGAAGATGGCACTATAACCTGATGTTATGAACTCTGGAGTCAGACAGACTTTGGTTCGTATCTCATTTCTGCCACTTAACTGTGTGACCTTAGGCAAGTTACATAACCTTTTCAAGCCTGAGACTCCTTTTGGACAGAAGGGATGTGCTGATAGTATCAGCCTCACAGTTAGCATTATGTGAGCATTACATGCATGTAAAGCAGTTAGTCACAGTGCTTATATAAATGAAAGAGTGATTCTTGAATAGCTTCCAGTCTTGTTGGAATCACGTGGCAGGGTAAACTTTTTCTCTAAAGGAGTAGACAATAAATATTTTAGGATTTGCCAGCCACTTCCTTATAGTCATTTCCATATTAACATGTTCCATGTTAAGGGCTTGACAGTTACACCATTTAGACTTGTTAATTTTTTTTCTTAATGGTATTTTGTTAGTTTTATGGTGAATCATCTAAACCAGTTTTGGAACTAAGACAGTCCTGTAGGAGCTATATAATTTTAAACGAATTCAAGTGTCTATTACACTAGGAATACCTAGGACTAACATGATTGCTCTTGTCCTTCCTAATGGACTCTTGGTAACCCCGAAGACGGAGTGAATCCATATCCCTTTATTATACACGTAAGCTTTAGTTTTATAAGTATGGTCAAAATTCTCAGATTCCATGTTACATTAAAATCCTTGCTAGAAATGAACTTTATAGGGTAAATTGTTGGTTAGAAAACATGTACTTTTCTCTTTCAGTGGAGGCTAAGACGTCTGAAGCCGAGAAGTCTGAAGTTAGGCCCTTTAATGATTCTACTCGTGCTGAGCCCTTGAATGATTCTACTCACGTTTCTTTGCAAGAAGAAAACCAGTCTTCTGTCAGTCATTGCGTCCCTGATGTTTCTACAGTTACTGAAGAAGGCTTATTTAGCCGAAAGAGTTTCCTTGTTTTGGGTTTTAGTAATGAAAATGAATCTAACATTGCAAACATCATAAAAGAAAATGCTGGGAAAATCATGTCCCTTCTGAGCAGAACTGTTGCCGATTATGCTGTGGTTCCTCTGCTGGGGTGTGAAGTAGAAGCCACTGTGGGAGAAGTTGTTACAAACACGTGGCTGGTAAGACAACACTGTAGTGGTTGCAATAAAGTATTGAAGATTATCTGAGTGCCAAGAAGGTTAATGTTTGTTTCTTAGGCAGTTCAGTTACAGTAAATCGGTGTTTGGATTTGAACACTTTTGATTTTACTTTTAGCAAGGGAAATTCTAAAGTTAAATGTGCAAGTTTCTTGGGCCTAATCCTGATACGGTAGAGGTTACTCTTTCCCAGAGGCCACAGCAGCAACATTCCTTCTTAGGAGGTCACTATAGGGTCATCTCATACTGTTTGTCCTGTTTTCTTACAACCGAAGCATCACGGGTAATTTCACTGTTGATTTTTTTTTTTTTTAACGTTCCAAGAATTATGAGAAAAATAGTGTAATACATTGGAAGGAATGAAATGTAAAGCAACATTCAATAACTCCAATGATAGCTCTTACTGATTGTAATAGCCTAATGTAATCAGTCGATGTTTGCATATGTGTGTATGTATATGTATATTTTAATGTTATGATATGAAATGTATTGAGAATGAGCATACACAGGTTTGTATTAAAGTAAAACTTCTTATCAAAACTGAATTATTGCTCGTGTGCCTGAATGAGTGTTAACCACTGGCTGCTTATTTCAGGTTGGCTTTACTGTTTCTCTTGTTTTTAAAAGGTTACTTGCATAGACTTTCAGACTTTGTTTGATCCAAAGTCGAATCCTCTCTTCACACCAGTCCCAGTAATGACAGGAATGACTCCTTTAGAGGATTGTGTTATTTCATTTAGCCAGTGTGCTGGAGCAGAAAAAGAGTCTTTAACATTCCTAGCAAACCTCCTTGGAGCAAGGTATGTGATCTTTTTAATGCACCTGTTGTGTTGGTGTATCTTTTTATTTATTTTGACTTCTTGGAGAGCATTCAAATTAGAATTTGGTTGGGTGTCTTTATTGTATTTATGGATGTTATACAGTTCCTTCTCCCCTCCCACTGCTTCACTTGACTAACCTTAAAAAAAAAAAAGTATCTCCATTGTCCAAAGATGAAGACTTAGGTATCATAAGAGATAATAACTGCAGTGGATCCAAATGAAATAGTGTTTAAGTCGTGACTTCATAATGACACCAAATAAACTAAGGTAATTGATGATCTTTGAAAGATGCTAGGGAACCAGTCTATTACTTTGAAAGCTGACAAAAGGAAAGGATCAAGTAATTTAACCTGCATTTCCTGTGCAGTTTGCATCAGGGTAACATGATAGTGGATATGGCAGAGTTTCCATTTTTAAAGATGTTTCAACAAACAAACAAACAAAGAATGATAAGATTGTAACCCCTAATGAATGAAAGAATCTAGGCATTGAACATCAATAGTTAATCACACAATAAAGGGACAAGATATGATGTGCCTTCTTATGAAGAATACACCACCACTTTGAAGTAGTCTTACCAAAATAATCAAACCTCAATCTGATGATGCTTCTAGATCCAATTCCCAATTTATAGGAAATGCAAACAGCAGAATAACACGTTAAACTACACCACAATGATATAATCAGCAAGACCCAGACTTTGGTACAACTCTATGGCATAAATGATCCAGTGTCTTCAACGAATATATATTAAGGGCATGGAAAAGAAGGTAGGAACCTATAAGCTAAAAGACATGAAAAAGCAAAAGCCTAAATATAGTCTTTAAAGATGCCATTATTTGATTATAGAAAAGTAAAGAAGTGATTACTGTAAGTGTCCAAATAGACTGAGCACAGTGGCTCATACCTGTAATCCCAGTACTTTGGGAGGCCAAAAGATTGCTTGAGCTCAGGAGTTTAAGACCAGCCTGGACAACATAGTGAGACCTCATCTCTATTTAAAAAATAATTTTAAAAAAATGAGCCAGGCATGGTGGCATGTGCTTATGGTCCCAACTACTCGGGAGGCTAAGGCAGGAGGATTGTTTGAGCCCAGGAGACCAGGGCTGCAGTGAGCTATGATCACACAACTATACTTCAGCCAGGGCAACAAAATGAAACCCCGTCTCCAAAAAAAAAGCCCAAATAGTGGCTACTATTAAGAAGGCAGGGAACGGGGGTTGTATGGCATGTTGGAGAGGTTCTGGGGTGGTTAGCGAGATTCTGTCTTCTGACATGGGTGGTGGACTTAAGGGTTTCACCTTATAATAATTCATTGAGCTGTATATTTCCTTTTTTGCTGTTTTCTGTTTGAATTATATGAAACAAAAAAATTCTTTTAAAACCGAAATTGTGGAAGATAATAACATACATGACAACAGACTCCACTGGATGCAACTAAAGCTGCATTCAGCAGGAAAGTCATGCAAATTCTGAAATAGAATAATTGGGACTAGCCCTAACAGTTATTAAAATACATTTTGTGGCCAGGTGTGGTGGCTCATGCCTGTAATCCTAGCACTTTGAGAGGCTGTGGCAGGAGGCCAAGTTCAAGACCAGCCTGGGCAATATACTAAGACTCTGTCTTAAAAAAATTTTTTTTAAATGAGCCAGGCAGTGTAGCATAAATCTGTAGTCTCAGTTATTTGGGAGGCTGAGGTGGGAGTATTGTTTGAGCTTGGGAGGTCAAGGCTGCAGTGAGTCACAATGGCGCCACTGTACTCTAGCCTGGAGGACAGAGCAAGACCCTGTCTCAGAAAACAAACAAACATATATTTTGTGAAACTTCACTAAATAACAGTGTAGTTGTGTGTAGCAGAAAGTTTAATTCAGGAACAGCAAGAGTAGCAGGAGACTCAAATACACAAAGGAATTTACGATAAAAGTGACATTTCAAATTATTAAGGAAGACATGGCTTATTCAATAAATAGGATTCATTAAAGCTGGAGCAATATCTCATATCTAAATAAGTACTGAATGGATTAGTGGGTTAAATATAAAAAATGAAGTTATAAAAGTACTAGAATAAACACATAACATAGAAAAAAAGTGCCAGGAAACATGGGAAATTAAAAAATCTGAAAAGTTGGGAACTGGAACGTAAAACCCAGAAGTCATAAAAGAAATCACGGAATTCTGTTCACTCTCAAGTCGTAGACTTCTTTTTCTGCCCTGTATTCTCTGTGTGTAATATCCTGTGATCTTGAGGCACTTAATTTCTCTCTATTTTTTCCTGTATCGATACTTAAATATTGAGAGGATCAAATGAGATAATATGTAGAAATGCTTTGGAAAGTTGTAGTAGGTTAAAAAATAATAATAATGTGTTATTTATACACTTTGCTCCTGTCACTTCTTCCTTGCCTTCTTTTGGGAGGAAAGGACAAAGTGTGGGGGTGATAACTAATTTAGGAGGTAATTTTGGCTGTGTGAGGTGGTTCACACCTGTAATCCCAACTTTAGGAGGCTGAAGCAGGAGGATCACTTGAGCTCAGGAGTTTGAGACCAGGCTAGGCAACATGGTGAAACCCCATCTCTACAAAAAATACAAAAATTAGCCCGATGTGGTGGTTAGGAACTACACCTGTAGTCCTAGCTACCGGGGAGGCTGAGGTGGGAGGATAGCTTGAGCCTGGGAAGTAGAGGTTGCAGTGAGCTGTGATTGTGCCACTGCACTCCAGTCTGGACAACATACCACGACAAGACCCTGTCTCAAAAGGAGGTAATTTTGCTGTCGGTTCTTTGCATGTCTAATTATGCATAATTGTCTAATTGTCTAAAAACATAATACGTCTAATTATGTTTTTATAAAAAATTTGTTACAGCAATACATTTTTACCCTAGAGTAAGCATTTGTAAGGGGATTAGCTTAATTTCAGATAGAATAAACCAACTTTTAATCAGTATTTTTTTTTATACTTACATGATCTCTAATCACACTGTTGTGTTGGAAATTTTGTTCTTAAGTGTTGCGGGTGAATTGTATATGTGACCATTTCCACTTCTTTAAATATAAATTTCAGTGTTCAAGAATACTTTGTTCGCAAATCCAATGCAAAGAAAGGCATGTTTGCCAGTACTCATCTTATATTGAAGGAACCTGGTGGCTCTAAATATGAAGCTGCAAAGAAGTGGAATTTACCTGCAGTTACTATAGCTTGGCTATTGGAGACTGCTAGAACGGGAAAGAGAGCAGACGAAAGCCATTTTCTGATTGAAAATTCGTCTGAAGAAGGTTAATACTTTTATTCTGTTATTTTATATATATTTACAACTGGATGGTTTCTGGGATATAAACGTGCCAATGCTTGTGTTTAGGAAAGGTCATTGATTTTCGCTTTTCACATTGGGTGCAGTGAGGGTCTCAGTGTTTGAAGTCTAAAGATGTAAGCCTGGCTCCTATTTATTGTTGATTCCTTCGATGGCTCACAGTAACATACCATGTAATTAATGTGCTCTCTCTCCTCTTATCTTTGGGCTTCTGCATGTTTCCTGTAGACCACCTCACAGTTGCCAGCTCTTCCTTCTTATCTTTCAGTTCTCAGCTAAGATACCACTTTGACTGGGAAGCCTTTCTTTTTTTTTTCTTTCTTTTTTTTTTTTTTAATTATTATTATACTTTAAGTTCTAGGGTGCTTGTGCATAACATGCGGGTTTGTTACATATACACATGTGCCATGTTGGTTTGCTGCACCCATTAATTCGTCATTTGCATTAGGTATTTCTCCTAATGCTATCCCTCCCCCACCCCCGTACCCCACAACAGGCCCCGGTGTGTGATGTTTCCCGCCCTGTGTCCAAGTGTTCTCATTGTTCAATTCCCACCTATGAGTGTGAACACGCGGTGTTTGATTTTCTGTCCTTGTGATAGTTTGCTCAGAATGATGGTTTCCAGCTTCATCCGTGTCCCTACAAAGGACGTGAATTCGTCCTTTTATATGGCTGCATAGTATTCCATGGTGTATATGTGCCACATTTTCTTAATCCAAATCCAATCTATCATTGATGGACATTTGGGTTGGTTCCAAGTCTTTGCTATTGTGAATAGTGCCACAATAAACATACGTGTACATGTGTCTTTATAGTAGCATGATTTATAATCCTTTGGTTATATACCCAGTAATGGGATCACTGAGTCAAATGGTATTTCTAGTTCTAGATCCTTGAGGAATCGCCACACTGTCTTGGGAAGCCTTTCTTGACTCACTAAGTATGGCCTTTGTCTTGGTGTAATGTTTTGTTTCACCATGACACTCTGTATCATCCCTTTTATCTCTTACCTCGGTGTTATAATGGTGGTTTATTTTGTGTCTCCCTGCTAAATTATAAGTTCCAGAAAGGCAGTGAACATGCATGTCTTGTGAATTCTGTATTTCCCGTGTCTAACACTAGGCCTGGCATGGAGTAGCTATCTAATAAGTTTTTTTGTTAAATGTTGAAAACAGGTGGAAGGCAGAGGTGGAAGAATACAGTACCCTCTCTTGTAAGATAATAGCATTCCTGGGCAAACTTCAAGGGCATATCAGCAGCTTGGGAACACCTCTCAGAGTCATTACTTATTTTGCCAGACAGACTGGTAATTTTATGACTGAGGCTAAGTGATGTTTAGGTCGTATTAAAATTTGATTAAGGGCTTTCCAAAACTTTACTGTAGTTAACTCTGAGTAATTCAGATTTTCTTTGTAGCCTGTCATTGACTAGAAAGACATTCACTGATACAATTTTTGGCAAATAGGCTTATTGAGACATAGCAAGATGAAACAGGAAATCTATTTTTAGTTTTTCAGTTAATGTGCTTGTCTAACTCAACATATATTTAATGCATAATCTGGTTTGTTTCTTGGAAAGTAGGTATATAATTTTGTCATTTAAAGTGTACTGAGAATTGACATGAAAACTAACAGTTAGATTGGGATGACAAGGTAGATGGATCACTTGAGCCCAACAGTTACGCAAGAAAGAAAGGAAATAAAACAGATGTAAAACATTACTTCTTGTGTACTGGAAAAAAGTGGGCATTAGTGGCTCATATTTGTTTCTTTTCATTTTAAATCTCTAGAACGAAGTTTGGAAACAGAAATAACAAATGGAATCAGTCTAAATTCAGATACTGCAGAGCATCCTGGCACACGCCTGCAAACTCACAGAAAGACCGTCATTACACCTTTAGATATGAATCGCTTTCAGAGTAAAGCTTTCCGTGCTGTGGTCTCACAACATGCCAGACAGGTTTCAGCCTCCCCAGCAGTAGGACAACCACTTCAGAAGGAGCCCTCACTACACCTGGATACACCATCAAAATTCCTGTCCAAGGACAAACTCTTCAAGCCTTCCTTTGATGTGAAGGTAAGGTTTATAGGCAATGGTCCCAGAGTTAACAGTTTTACCGTTTATAAAGTTAAAGCACCAAATTCAGCATCACCTCTAAAGTGTAGTAGTAAATTTTCCAGAGACATTGGCAAGTAGATTTTTGTTATTGCGTTTGAATGTTTTGAGTCCCAAAATACATTTAGGGTTAAGGTAAGAGCTATAGATAAATATGGTGTGAAATTAGGACATCTGGGTTCAAGTACTAGGTCAATCTTGAACTGTATGACTAGGCCGATCATTTAACATACCTGAGCTTCAGTTTGTTTCTTCATACAAAGAAGATAATATTTGCTCTGAAAATTCATAGATTATAAAGATCAAATGATGAAATCACTTTATAAACTATAAAATGTAAACACACTGCTACTTTATATGTTGGTTCTCAGAGTACAGCCACGATTTGCCTTCTGAAAATGTGTGTGTATCACCTTACTTGAATTGTTTCCTGTAAAGACATGAGTTAAGTCTGTGTTTTAGTTTGATCTCCTGAGCAGTATAGTATGGCTCCCTTTCTGAAAAATTTGTTTGCAAATCAGGGGCTAATAAAATCTTCCATATGATTTTCTTTTATTTTCCAAAGCTGATTTTCGTCACTATTTCTTTAGTAGCTTTTGACGTCTTAAGTGGCTGTTCAAACCGTTGTCTATGATTTCTTTATCTACAAACCTTTGCAGAATTATTTTACTCATTTGTCTGTTGATATTTTTGCTTGTAGGGTATTTAGAAGCAATATTTTAATAATTTTTATTAGTGTGTTTTGGAGCAGACTTACTAAAAAGTTTACAGATTATTCATATTCAGAAAATAAATATTAACTGATATCCAGGACAATTTTCCCCAAGCTAATTTATGTCTTTATTTTTGGTGAGAATTCCAGTGACCCACATGAAAAAAAAAGTCTTTACTATTAAACTCAAAATTCTAAGTTTTCACATGAAATCTCTTCTGAGGTAACATTTTATACTGTGATTAATACTCAGGTCCATATCCCTTAAGAAATAAAGGAAAATCAGTCTTAGGAACTGTGAGGTGTAGGATCAAGTCTCTTCTTTGTCTCCTACTGCCTTTTAAAAGCAAGTCAACCTCTTTCGGCTTCATTATTCTCATCTATAAAATCCAGATGATCTCTGAAGTCTCATAACTCACAGACTCTCCGAAGAGCAAATGTAATAATATTAGTAGGCAAGAAAACAGTAGAAATATTTTCAGTCATTGAGACCATTCTTATGTAGATACTTTGCAATAAAAGTTTTGCAGTGGAAAGCTGATAGTTCTGAATAGCGTGAGTACAAAAAGCGCATTTAAAGATTTTATTGTTTAGAGTCATAATATTGAGCAGTGTTTTTTCTCCTTTTTCTGTCTTTTTTGATGGCACATAAATAATGCTTCATCTTATAATCAGTGGTTCTTCAAACTGATATAATATGGTATATTGAATTATTTACTCAAAACATGAAAGGGCCTATGGAATAATCACAAAATTGACCATCTCTTAGGCCTCACCTTCCCTCCCTACCAAAAAAGTCACCTCTTATTTAAACTTAATTTTTAATTAATATACATCAGAGCAGTCCAATAAGTATACTGCTAATGAAATATCAGGGTTAATCGTTGGGAAGCCACTATACACGTTCAGATAGAGACCATGGTCAGTACTGTAAACCCTTCCTTGTGGCTCCATCACTGCTTCCTCCCTAAAGTGTACTCCTGACTTCTAACCCTATTGTTTTGTTATGCTTGTTTTTGACTTTTAAATATATGGTATCAGAGTATGTATTTTTTTGAGTCTGCTTTTTTAAAATTGTTCTTTAACCCTTATTTAGATATGTCTGTTTTGCTACATGCAAATATAGTTCATTTATTTATTCCTTTGTATGGATATACCAAATTTACATTTCCAGTGTACTGTTGATGGTCATTTAGTTGGTTACTGGTTTTTTGCCCTTACAAAATAATTTTACTGTGAGCATTCTTGTGCGTGTCTCTTGGAGTCTATGTGTGTGTATTACTATGTGGTATATACCTAGAAGTGAAATTGTTGGGTTCTATTTCAGCTTCAGTAGAGAACGACAAATTTTTTGCCAAAGTGATTATACGAGTTTGTGCTTCCACCAGTAGTGTGTTGAGTGTACCCAGTGTTCCTCATCTTTGCTGATACTTGCTATTGTAAGCTGTTTTATTTCACTTTTTACTTCAAAATAATTTCTAACTTATAAAACGTTGCAAAATAAAAATGGTACAAGGGGCTGGGTGTGGTGGCTCACATCTGTAATCCCAGCACTTTGGGAGGCTGAGGTGGGAGCATCACTTGAGACCAGGAGTTCTGGACCAGCCTGGGCAAAATAGCGAGACCCCCATCTCTAACAATTTTTTTTTTTTTAATTAGCTGGGCTTGGTGGAGTGCACCTGTAGTCCTAGGTACTCAAGAGGCTGAGGCGGCAAGATGGCTTGAGCCCAGGAGTTTGAGGCTGTAGTGAGCTATCCTACCACTGTACTCCAGCCTGAATGACAGAGCAAGACCCTGTCTCAAAAAGAAATAAGTACAAGGATGGCTGGACATAGTGGCTCATGCCTGTTATCCCAGCACATTATGAGGCTGATGAGGGGTGGATCACTTGAGGCAGGAGTTGGACACCAGCCTGGGCAACATGGTGAGACCCCACATCTACAAAAAGTTGGAAAAATTAGCTGGGCATGATGATGCATACCTCTTCCTACTTAAATGGTATTCTTTATTATTTGTCAGTTTTCAATTATGTTTTTGGCTCCCACTAATTGCCTGTATAGAAGATTTTATTCTGTTTCCCCCTTTTCTCTCTTCTGTTTTTCATTGCATATTTTTTTACTTTGTCAGGAGGGAAAATATATTTTTTCAACCCACAGACCCCACCCTCGTTTTGGTCTTAACTCTACAATCAAATATATGAAATGGTACTCTTCCTTTTGAAGCTTTCCTGTCAGCTTTGGTATGATGAAGTTCATTTTCTAGTAGGTTCCTCAGGAATCTGTGTGTACACTTGTGTACAGTATCCCTTGAGTTATGCATGTTCATAACTTTTACTATGGCCTTGTTTCCTTCTACAGATTGTTTGGATGTACTATTCTTAGTTTGCTGTTTTTTTTCTTGAGTTTCCTGAAAATGCTCTTCCACTACTGCCTTGCTTTGTGTGTGTTGTTTTTGAAAAAAATCTGATGCCAATCTAATTAAATTATCTTGTCTTTGTAAGTTATTTCATCTTTTTGCCTGGAGGTCATGTGGATTTTTCTTTTATCTTTTTTTTTTTTTTTTTAAGACACAGTCTCGCTCTGTCACCCAGGCTGGAGTGCAGTGGCACGATCTCGGCTCACTGCAACCTCTGCCTCCCGGGTTCAAGCGATTCTCCTGCCTCAGCCTCCCGAGTAGCTGGGATTACAGGCATGCGCCACCATGCCTGGTGACTTTTTGTATTTTTAGTAGAGACGGGGTTTTGCCATGTTGGCCAGACTGACCTCAAACTCCTCATGTCAAGTGATCTGTCCAGCTTGGCCTCCCAGAGTGCTGGGATCACAGGCATGAGCCACAACGCCTGGCCTTTCCTTTTATCTTTGAACTCAAATAGTTTTACGAGGATGTCTAGATGTTAAGAATTCTCAATCATTTGAAATCAGTTTTCTACAATACATGGTAGGTTTTAAAATTTGATTCTTTTCAAATTTTTGGTCTGAGAGATGAGAAGAATGGAGTTGCCAATCAACTGAGTTGAACAGAACAGGTTGGGATTGGAGCCTAAAGATGAAGAATTCACATGTTAGACACACTAAGTTGGAGATGCCTGTTAGATATCCAAGTAGTTGTTAAATAGGCAGTTGCAAATAAAGCTGGAAGTTTGAGGAATGGTTTGGGCTGGAGATAAAAATTTGGGGTTCTGAGTTTGTAGGTAATATGTAAAGCCATGTGAGGACAGATGCCAAGAGAACAGGAGAAGGCGAAGAAAGGAAAGAGGGTTTTGTTTTGTTTTGTTTTAAGACAAGGTCTCGCTGTGTCATCCAGGCTGGAGTGTAGTGGCATGATCACAGCCCATTACAGCCTTGACCTCTGGACTCAAGCAATACTTCTACCTCTGCCTCCAAAGCAACTAGGACTTCAGGTGCATGTCACTACACCTGGCTAATTTTTAATTTTTTTGTAGATACGGGGATCTTACCACACTGCCCAGGCTGGCCTTAAATTCCTGGACTCAAGCAATCCTCCTGCCTTGGCCTCCCAAAGTGTTGGGATTATAGGTGTGAACCAGCATGCCCAGCTGAAGAAAAGAGCTCTAAGGAACACCTTGAGGTGCTCACCTTTAGAGGAGGAACCAGCAAAGGAGACTGAGAAGGAGCTATAAGAGAGGAGGAAAGCCTAGAGATTATTTTAGAAGCCAAGTATTTCAAAGAGGGAGGAGGGGTTAACTATGTCCAGTACTGCTCAAAGATCAAGAAAGGTGAGAATAGAAAATTGGCCAGTGGATTTAGCATTATGGAGGTCAATGGTGTCATCATAACATTAAGGGTTTTGGTGGCATGATGGAGATGGAAGCTGGTGTGGGTTCATAAAGAAATGAGAAGAATGGGAGACATTGAGTGTAAACAACGATTTTTGAAGGAGTCTTGCCATAAAGGGGAGCCAAGAAAATGGAGTTGTAGTTATGGGGCAAAGGAGGGGCAAAAGAATGTTGTTTTCTTTTTAAGGTAGAAGAAATAGCCAGGCTCAGTGGCGCTTGCCCATAATCCCAGCACTTTGGGAGCCCAAGACGGGAGGATCACTTGAGTCCCAAGAGTTCAAGACAAATCTGGGCAACATGGCAAGACCCTGTCTTTACAAAATACACAAAAATTAGCTGGGCGTGGTGGTGCACGTCTGTAGTCCCAGCTAGTTGGGAAGCAGAGGCAGGAGGACTGCTTGAGCCCAGGAGATAGAGGATGCAGTGGGCAGTGATCATGCCGCTGCACTCCCGCTTGGGTGACAAACTGAGACCCTGTCTCAAAAAAAGAAGAAGAAGAAATAACTATATGCCAGTGTAACTGCCAGTAGAGAGCCAACTGATGACGCAGATGAGAGAAGAAAGACTTGCAGGAGGCTTGAGTCTGAGAGGCATTGGGATCTACTTAAGTAGAGGAAAGTACTAGTGGCACGTGTGCTGAAGGCAGATAGAGGTGGTCTGGGAGCTTCTGATTTTTGTATGAGGAATCCTCTAAAATGCTTTGAAGAAATTTAAAAAATTAAAGTTTAGCATATAGAAAGACTACGTTCTTGGCAAAATAGATTTAAGCATCGTCAAGATCTGTAAAGGCATATTAATCTGTTTGCACATTGCTATAAAGAACTACCCCAGACCAAGTAATTTGTTCTTATTTTTATTTTTTTATACTGAGACGGGGTCTTGCTCTGTTGCCCAGGCTGAAGTGTGGTGGCGTGATCTCGGCTCACTGCAATCTCCGCCTGCTAGGTTCAAGCAATTCTCTTGCCTCAGCCTCCCGAGTAGCTGGAATTACAGGTACCCACCACCACACCCGGCTAATTTTTGTATTTTTAGTAGAGATGGGGTTTCACTGTGTTGGGCAGGCTGGTCTCGAACTCCCAACCTCAAGTGATCCACCCACCTCAGCCTCCCAAAGTGCTGGGATTACAGGTGTGAGCCACCACGTCCAACTTTATAAAGGAAACAGGTTTAATTGACTCACAGTTCCACAGGCTGTACAGGAAGCACCACTGGGGAGGCCTCAGGAAACTTACAGTCATGGTCGAAAGTGAAGGGGAAGTGAACACGTCTTTCATGGCTGGAGAAGGAGGAAAAGATAGCGGGGGGAGATGCCACACACTTTCAAACAACCAGATATCAGCCAGGCACAGTGGCTTACACCTGTAATCCCAGCACTTTGGGAGGCCAAGGTGAGTGGATCACCTGAGGTCAGGAGTTCAAGACCAGCCTGGCCAACATGGCAAAACCGCATCTCTACTAAAAATATAAAAATGAGTTGGGTGTGTTGGCACATGCCTGTAATCCCAGCTAATCGAGAGACTGAAGCAGGAGAATCACTTGAACCAGGAGGTGGAGGTTGCATAGAACCAAGATCGCGCCACTGCACTGCAGCCTGGGCAACAGTGAGACTCCATCTCAAAACAAACCAGGTATCATGAGAACTCATTATCACAAGAACAGCAAGGGAGAAATCCGCCCCCATAATCCAGTCACCTGCCACCAGGCTCCTCCTCCATCACTGGGGATTACAGTTCAACATGAGATTTGGGTGGGCACACAAATCCAAACCATATTGAAAGGTAATGTAGATCCTAGAAGAAAATGCAAGCAGAAACAGTATTTAAAAAATCTGAAAAGAATAATTGCAGGTAGGGAGTAACCCTACCATTTATTAAAACCTCCTGTAAAGTTGCAGTAATTAAAGCAGTGTGTTGTCACCTGAATAATCAAGTTAATGTATAAGATTATACTCCACAAATAGGGAAATGTATTATGTAATAAAGGTAGCATTCAAATTAGACAACTAGGTAGCCATCTGAGAATATGTTTGTAATTAAAGCTCACACTGTACATCAGAATACTTTTTAGATGATCAACTCTTGGGGTTTTCCTTGAAACAGAATCTCACTTTATCGCTTAGGCTGGAGTTCAGTGGCATCATCATGGCTCACTGCAGCTTCGACCTCCTGGGCTCAAGCAGTCCTCCCACCTCAGCCTCCTGAGTAACTCAGACTACAGGTACATGACACTGTGCCCAGCTAATTGTATTTTTTGGAGAGGTAGAGTCTCACACTCACCATGTTGCTCAGGCTGGTCTAGAACTCGTGGGCTCAAGCAGTTCTGCCTTGGCCTCCCAAAGTGTTGGAATTACAAGTGTGAACCACCATACCCAGCCTAGATGATCAGATATTTCAACATAAGAAATGAAGCCATAAAAATTCCCAAACATGTCATGAATTTGTTTTTAAAATAATCCTAGTGTGGGGAAGGCCTAACTATAACATACACTCCAAAAGAAATAGAAGATTTGTATGAATTTGACAGCATTAAAAATTCTGTGAGTGTGATGGCACACGCCTATAGTCCCAGCTGACGTGGGAGGATTGCTTGAGCCCCAGAGGCAGAGGTTGCAGTGAGCTAAGATCGAGGATGGAGCCACTGCACTCCATTCTGGGCAAGAGAGCAAGACCCTGTCTCAAAAAACAAAACAAATTCTCCAGCCAGGCACGGTGACTCACACCTGTCATCCCAGCACTTTGGGAGGCCAAGGAGAGAAGATTGCTTGAACCTAGGAGTTTGAGACCAGCCTGGGAAAGATGGCAAGACCCTGTCTCTATGAAAAATTTTAAAATTACCTGAGCACAGGGTTGTGCATTTGGAGTCCCAGCTACCTGGGAGGCTGAGGTGAGAGGATCCCTTGAACCTAGGAGTTAGAAGCTGTAGTGATGTATAATCATGCCACTGCACTCCAGTTTAGGTGACAAAGCAGGACTCCATCTCTAAAAAACAAAAGGCTCCATGGCAAAAATTTGACAAATGATAAATTGAAAGTAAATACACGGATGTTATATCACAGTTGATACATGCACATATAAATTCATACAAATGAATATAAAAGTATATTCATACAAGCAATTAAAAAAAAAAAAAGACTAACAACCCAGTGGACAAATGGGAAAAGGATAGGAGCAGATAGTTGTCACAAAAAATTAGATATAAATATATATATAGCCAGGCGCGGTGGCTCACGCCTGTAATCCCAGCACTTTGGGAGGCAAAGGCAGGCGGATCACGAGGTCAGGAGTTCGAGATCAGCCTGACCAACATGGTGAAACCCTGTCTCTACTAAAAATACGAAAAATTAGCCAGGCATGGTGGCGCATGCCTGTAGTCCCAGCTACTCGGGAGGCTGAGGCAGGAGAATTGCTTGAACCCAAGAGGCAGAGGTTGCAGTGAGCCGAGATTGCGCCATTGTACTCCACCCCGGGCAACAGAGCAAGACTCCGTCTTAAAATACACACACACACACACACACACACACACACACACACACAAAGATATTTAACCTCATTCAGTATAAAGGAGTAGAAAATTAAAGCAACAGATAAAATTTTTTAGTCATCAGATTGTCGAAAAAGAAAAATCTGATTACTGCGTTATCAAGCACATTTGGAAAATACACACACTCATACTTTGCTCATGAAAATGTTTCAACATTGGTAGATACATGTTGGTCTTGTTTTTTTAGGTTTTTTTTTTTGTTTTTAGAGAAATGGGGTCTCTCACCGTGTTTGCCAGACTGGTCTCAAACTCCTGGCCTTGAGCCATCTTCCTGCTTCAACTTCTCTGGAGTAGCTGAGATTACTGCCAGGAGCTACTGCACTGGGCTGGTAGATAACATTTTGCTTAAAAGGTTTCCTTTGCTCTTGTATGTGCAAAATGGTTTGTGTACAAGGTTATTCATTGCATCATTATACTAGCAAAAGATTGTTAACCTAAAGCTTATCAGTTGTACACAGGGTAAATACATTCTGATACATACATGGAATACTGTACACAAGCAAAAGAGAATGAGCAAGCCATCCGGACTACAGTAGCTTCCTTTCAGGAGGGAACTGTTGGTGGCTTTAGAACAGGAATGTATTTTGAACTTTTGAAGATTTTTTTTTTTTTTGTAATTCTCAGCTCGTTTTGACTTTCTAACCTTCTTTATAATTCATTTCTTGATTATATCCATCGTTGCTTTTTTGGTTCCTTCTGAGTTTGTTTTTTGTTTTGTTTTGTTTTTTGTTTTTTTTTTCAAATTCAACTCTTAAGATTCAGGTAAGAGGCAAGCACTGCTGAAAATGTAAGCTTGTTAGTCTCTTTGAACCAATTTGCTGGACAGTATGGAGTTTTTATTCTTCACAGTATATAGATTCGATCAGTTTATTCTTTTTATTGTTATTTGGAGGAAAACTAGAGGAGGTTAAACTGTAACCCATTAATTTTGAGGATTCTACCCCTTCTCTCTCTTTACCCCTTTCTCCTCCTCTTTCTTTTTCCTGTCCTATTAACCCATCTTGCTTCTCTCTCTCTCTTCATTTCTCCTTCTCGCTCTCTCCTTCATATGTATAGGATGCACTTGCAGCCTTGGAAACTCCAGGATGTCCCAGCCAACAGAAAAGGAAACTGAGTACACCGCTCTCAGAAGTTATTGTCAAAAACTTGCAACTTGCTTTGGCAAATAGCTCTCGAAATGCTGTTGCTCTTTCTGCCAGCCCTCAACTGAAAGAGGCCCAGTCAGAGAAGGTAGGATTAGTTCTCTTATTAAAAGGAAGTTTTAGATAACATTTCAGACAATAATGACTGATCTGTTTCTCTTATTTTCAATGGACAGGAAGAAGCCCCAAAGCCACTTCACAAAGTAGTGGTATGTGTTAGTAAAAAACTCAGCAAGAAGCAGAGTGAACTAAATGGGATTGCAGCCTCTCTAGGAGCAGATTACAGGTAGTTGGCACATCTTTCTGTTTCATGGTAATATGACTGAAATTTATAAGGAAACCTAAAGCTATTGTGAGCATCTACAAGGAAATGTTTATTTTGTTGTTTCATGTGTCTTTATCTACAAAATCTCTCCAATTGATTTTTAATTTACCACATCTGTTGAAAATAGCCTCTCACATATCGGTTCACTCATATATATATATATAAAATGTATATTTTTTAGGGTATGCACAACAAACATTGGAGAACCTATTTGGTGCCACTATTCTAGAAACTTGGGATCCATGAATGATTAGTATAGCTTAAAAGAATCCCTGTGTTCAAGGAGTTTAGAGTCTATTAATAGTAATACATCTGGATCTGAGATTAAGTTTATTTTTACTAGTGATTTTTCAGATTAGAGCTCTCTGGGAGTAGTACTAAGTACTCTGGCAGCCCTCCTTTATTAAGATAGTCTTTTTTGAGCATGTTTTAATTATCTTTTTTTTTAAGACTTTGGAGACTTAAATTATCAGATTTTTCTTCAGTCAACCTGACAGCCTAACCTGAAGACAGATTTCTAGCACAAATGGCATCAGTATCCAGAATTGAGAATCTCTTCCCTATTTCAGCCAGTCCTGAGTTGACTGTACTCCCCCACTATCTGTAATGCTTACTTTGTTGATAACTTGTGTTCAGCCATTCATAGATAGCATAAGAATTTGTTTAACAAATGATGAACCATTTCAGGAATATGATTAGTTTCACCTTCCCTTTTGGTAACTCTTGTTTCAGTTTGTTTTCTGTTTGATAAAGAAATTAGGACAGGAAAATATAGAAGTAAAATTAATCTGTAATAGATATAAGCATCTTAGTGTTTGGTACATCCATTTGAAATAGTGCAGCTCTTCTACAGTATATTTGTATTACCTATTATGAATTATTATGTAATGTTATCTATTATTATCTAATTACCTATTATGTTACCTATTGCTAGTTGCTGAGCATTATCTCATTTCATTCTCATAGTAGCCCCACAAGGGATGTGTGTATATTTTTTTCCCTCAAAATTGAATGTTTCCTTGTATATTCTGTTTTGATGTAGACATAAGACTTTCAAGGGAACATATAGGATGTATGTTTTTATACGATTTAAAATGCCAGTCCTCTCAGTATAAAAAATACAATTTATTACTGAAATTCCTAAACAGAATTGAACCAGTGCATTGCATTAAAGTTTATATTAAATCTTTTCCTGAAATGGATTGATAATTGGTAATTGATAAAAGGGAAGAGCCTTTTAATATGCAGAAGTTATGATATTTATGTATTCATAGAGTAAGCAGTTTTCAAGTGAAGTTGTTCCAAATGTTCCCTTTCTTGATCTAGGACCAGACTGTCCCAAAGAGATCATCCAATACTGTCTTCTGCCTTCAGACAGTTAAACGTGTAGGCCAGATCTTTGCAACACATCAGATACAGCATCTTCATTTTATTACAAATATTTATGTGACATTCCCTCTATTAAAATGAAAATCATAAATATAACCTACCTACTTTTATAATTTAAAAAAGCGGCAGGCAGTACAGCACTCTGTGATGCATAGGAGAAATAGAAGGTGCATAATATAAAAAAGATACATGTTCAGTTATGTAATGCCGAAGGCTGACTATATTAGAAAATGATGGAGTATTAATACGTTTGTATACCTATGTTAAGTCACCACAAATCCAACAGTCCCAAGGCTGAGACCAATCTGGGGGCTCAGATATCATGAGTAGCAGTGGTCTTCCATGAGTTTATACAGTAGTCACCTTTTTGGAATATTAGCATATATTAAAACTGCAAAAAAAAAAAAAACGTGTTTATATGTCAAACAGGTTCTAGGCTCATCTAATTATAAACCACTTTTTTTACATACGTGAATTTGTCAGGACATTAGAATATCATGCAAGATATGAGATAATTATATGCATGACTGTTCCCCAGAATGTCCAGCATCCTGTACCTTACCCACTGCATGCTAGTAGCACCCTCCAACATACAAACACACATTGTAACAACCAAAATCACCCTCACAAATGTCCAGAATAACCCCTGAAGTAACAATTTTGCTGAAACCACTGATGTAGACCAAGGGTGGATGGGCTGATTCATCTGTTTTTGTAAGTGAAGTTTTATTGGAATACAGCAATGCCTTTTCACTTACAAATTGCCTATGACTGCTTTCACATACGAGACAAAAGTTGAGCAGTTGCAGAAGAGATTGTTTGGCCTGCAAAGTCTAAAACATTTACCATCTGGCCTTTTAAGAACAAGTTTGCCAAACCCTGATGTAAACCATCTACAACTACTGACAGTCTGTTCTTGAATGGCCTCTGAAGACTGAAACTCATGGTTTCCATATTGTCATAGTGAAGCTGAATAGTAAACCAAATTGATTCAGGCAGAGATACTCCTCTGTTTTTCTGAATTATCTTGATAATCTACCACTACAGCAGAAAAGGAGACAGTTATTCGGAGGACTAACAAATTAGGTAAGGTGTATTTTTACTGTTATGTTTGAGGATACATGGTCAGTAGGAAATAGAGATTTTTATAATATAATTTAGGAGGCAATAGTACTTCTTACTTCTTATTCTTAATTTTTTTTTTTTTTTTTGAGAGGGAGTTTCGCTTTGTTGCCCAGGCTGGTGTGCAATGACACAATCTCGACTCACCACAACCTCTATCTCCCGGGTTCAAGCGATTCTCCTGCCTCAGCCTCCCGAGTAGCTGGTATTACAGGCGTGTGCCACCACATCTGGTTAATTTGGTATTTTTAGAAGAGATGGGGTTTCTCCATGTTAGTCAGACTGGTCTCAAACTCCCAAACTCAGGTGATCTGCCCGCCTTGGCCTCCCAAAGTGCTGAGATTACAGGCATGAGCCACCGCGCCCAGCTTCTTAATTCATTTGGCTATTTAAAAAGTTCAGAGATATTCCTTACTTAGAAAATGGAAAACATTAAGTGTCCCTAAGGATAAAATTCTCTTTATTTTGGTGATTGCATTTAGAAATACAATTTTTACTTACCCTTTGGTTTTTACTTGATCTTTCCCAGGTCAAGAGAATATTGAATAGGGGCCAAATGCGGTGGCTCGTGCCTGTAATCCCAGCACTTTGGGAGGCCAAGGCGGGTGGATCACTTGAAGTTGGGAGTTCGAGACCAGCCTGCCCAACATGGTGAAACCTCGTCTCTACTAAAAATACAAAAATTACCAGGCGGGGTTGCACATGCCTGTAATCCCAGCTGCCTAGGAGGCTGAGACAGGAGAATTGCTTGAACCCACGAGATGGAGATTGCAGTGAGCCGAGATCATGCCACTGCATTCCAGCCTGGGCGACAGAGCAAGACTCTGTCTCAAAAAAGAAAAAGAGAGAATATTGAATAGGAAGAATTGGGAGATCATAGCATAATATAATAGTTAAGAGCATGACTTCTGAAGTCAAACTTATCTCTGTCATTTACTTATTGAATATCCTTCAACAGGGGACTGAACCATGTCCCTTAATTATTTTATCTGTAAGATAAATGTACCAGTGTTAGGATTGTTGTGAGGAGTGGATGAGATAATGATGTATAAAATATATATAGTCTGTTTTGGGGCATACAATGAATAGTGACTGCCAACAACTGGAGGGCAAGTTGGATGCTTTGCAGTTTATCAATTTGAAATACCTTTATGGTTACTGTAAAAGTGATACTCTTTATAAAAGAAAATTGAAACAATTCAGAAAAGCATAAAGAAGAAAGTAATATTTTAAAGAATATTCTTCTAAACCTCTCTCTGCGTTTATGTACCACAGATATATTCATAAAATTTGTCCAAAACAATAGCGCCTATCTTCATTTTTTTAACTGTTTTTTTCTTGAGGTGGGGTCTTGCTGTGTTGCCCGGGCTGAAGTGCAGTGTCTGTTCACAGGTGTGATCATAGCGCACTACAGCCTCAAACTCCTGGCCTCAAGTGATCCTCCTGCCTCAGCCTCCTGAGTAGCTGGGACTATAGGCATGTATCACTTGGCTTGAGCCTGTCATTTTAATGGTCTTGTTCACTCTAGTCTGAAAGTTTTGGGAAGGTCAGGATATTCTGTTCATACTAAATAAGGATCATCTTCAACTAATGTGGATGTTTCTCTTGGTTATTTGTTTTTTTGTATTGGTTATTTCAGGTGGAGTTTTGATGAAACAGTGACTCATTTCATCTATCAAGGGCGGCCAAATGACACTAATCGGGAGTATAAATCTGTAAAAGAAAGAGGAGTACACATTGTTTCAGAGCACTGGCTTTTAGATGTAAGCAGTGCTTTTTTCCCCTCTTTGTTAATTGAAAATGTATACAAACATTATTTCAGAGCACTAACTCAGAGATTTCACTCTCAGTGGAACTAGAAGCCAGTTTAATAATCTTGGTAAACTACACATTTCAGTTCTTTGGCATCAAAAACTTAAGATCTTTAGTCCTTAAATACTCAACAAATCTTTAATGGATACTCTTTCTAATTCTCCAATTCCTTTTACTAATTAAAAATGTGATATGAATGGAAAGTTTATAATTATTTGGGGAAAATTTAACGTATCAATAGAATTTAGATCTGTGTTTCTTTTTTTTTCTGGGTATTCTCTGGAGGGTAATTGATACCTTTGCAAAAGCACAGGAATGGTTTCAGATTTTATACTTCAATGGATATGACATTTAAAAAGTGAGGACAATTTTTCATTTGTGTGATGCACATTTTTCAGTGTAAACTACTTTTCAAACTAATTTTGTGAACTTTTTGCCATCTGACAGTATAATGTATTGTTGCTTGTCCTTATCCTACTTAACATCATCTATTCATTAAGATTTTGTCAGTCCTGTCTTAAAGCACACCATTGTATTACAGTGTGCCCAAGAGTATAAACATCTTCCTGAATCTCTTTATCCACATACTTACAATCCCAAAATGAGCTTGGATATCAGTGCAGTGCAAGACGGCCGACTCTGTAATAGTCGACTACTCTCAGCTGTGTCTGCAACAAAGGATGACGAGGTAGGAGATATGGAGGATACATTTACCCCCTCTTAAGCTAAAGGTATAATCATATATTGCTATGAAACCTTATACAGTGGCTTGGTTTGAGAATTTATAATTTTTCTTTTTCAATAGCCAGATCCTTTGATTTTAGAAGAAAATGATGTAGATAATATGGCCACCAATAATAAAGAATCAGCACCATCAAATGGAAATGGAAAGAATGACTCTAAAGGAGGTAAAATTTTATGTTTTAATTAAAAATTTTTTTTTGAGACAGGGTCTCAATTTTTTGTGGAGATGGAGTCTTGTCGTCTTGCCCACACTGGTCTGAAACTCCTGGGCTCAAAGGATCCTCCTGCCTTGTGAGCCACTGTACCCAGCTGTAAAATATGTTTAAATTACTAAATTTCTTTTACAAATGTATGTCTTCCTTTCATACAGAATGCTTCCTTTATATCAGATAGAAAAATAAAATTATTTTCTATGTTGCTAAATACAAGCAAAGCACATATTAGAGGATTGATTTGCAGTCCCATGCTGATCATTAAGTGATAATTTGCAAAGTTTTATGTAGTTTAAGTGTAAAGCTTAGGAAATTTATGAAACTAGAGTTTTATGGAGTTAGTGTGATACAGCCCTAGTCCATTAAAGGTAGGTGAAGTTGGTGATTTTT